TGCGCCCGCCCCTCTACCCCCAGCGGGGAATTTCGACAAACTCCCAAATGGCCAGGTTTCAAACCGCGGAGGCGTTTCTCGAAATTGCAGCCCCATACCCTGGCGCGGGATGTCGAGGAGGGTTTAATCGCCAGCCTTTAGCGGTGCAGTTATTCGAGATTGCGCTCGCCCCCCGCCCCCAAACGGGGAATTTCGAGTAACTCCCAAGTTGCCAGATTTCAGGCCGCAGGGGAGTTTCTCGAAATTGCGCCCACTCCTCGCCCCCCAGCTGGGAATTTCGAGAAATCCCCAACCGGCCAGGTTTCAGGCCGCGGAGGAGGTTCACGAAATTGCAGCCCCCTACCTTGGTGCGGAATTTCGAGGAGCGTTTGATCGCCAGTCCTTAGCGGGGCAGTTCTTCGAGACTGCGCGCAACCCCCGCCCCCCAGCGGGGAATTTCGACAAACTCCCAAGCGGCCGGATTTCAGGCCGCGGAGGAGTTTCTCGAGATTGCGCCAGCCCCGCCCCCTAGCGGGGAATTTCGAGAAACTCCAGCGTGGCCAAGTGTTTAGGCCGCGGAGGCGTTTTTCGAAATCGGCGACAACGCGGAGTTTTTCGAAATACCTAATGTACCATCGGGGGGGGGGGCAGGGGGCATTACGAGGAAACACCTGCAGGACCACCCCCCCGTCCTTCTTCTCCTCCTCCTCCTCCTCCTCCTCCTCCTCCTCCTCGTCCTCCTCCTCCTCGTCCTCCTCCTCCTCGTCCTCCTCCTCCTCCTCCTCGTCCTCCTCCTCCTCCTCCTCGTCCTCGTCGTCCTCCCCTCCTCCTCCTCCCTCCTCCTCCTCCTCCTCCTCTTCCTCCTCCTCCTCCTCCTTCTCCTCTTCCTCGTCCTCCTCGTCCTCCTCCTCCTCCTCCTCCTCCTCCTCTCCCGCCTCCTCGTCCTCCTCCCCCTCCTCGTCCTCCTCGTCCTCCGTCCTCCTTCTCCCTCCCCCTCCTCCTCCTCCTCCTCCTCCTCTTCCGCCTCCTCGTCCTCCTCCCCTCCTCCTCGTCCTCCTCGTCGTCGTCCTCCTCCTCGTCCTCCCTTCTCCTCCCCCCTCCTCCTCCTCCTCCTCCTCCTCCTCCTCATCCTCCTCCCCTCCTCCTCCTCCTTCCTCCTCCTCCTCCTCCTTTCTCCTCCTCGTCCTCCTCTTCCTTCTCCTCCTCCTCCTCCTCCTCCTCCTCCTCCTCCTGCTCCCTCTCCTCCTCACTCTTCGCGGCCATTTTAGGTGCCAGATCATACAAGTATTTTGAGAATTTGAAGTGGATTTTGCGGGGGGATGGCGGCAGCTTGGCAGCCCGACTCCTCACCTGCCCTGCGCTTGCCTGGCGGCGGCCTCGCGTCCGCAGACGTTGGTCGGCCTCGAACGTGAAGGCCAGGAGGTGGCCGCCGCTGGGGAGGAGGGCCTGATCGAGTCTTCATCACAGAGCAGATCTCTCACTCGCGGCGGCAAGTACCTTCACCCTGGCTGCCCATCCGACGCCTTCGCGCCGACCGCCCCTACCGACGCGGTGTGCGGCTGCACGTGCTTAAACATTGCGGACACTAAGGCCAGGGTTGACGTCGGCGCGCCGCAGTGCCTGACCTGCGAGGAGGGCACCCATGTGGCGTGGGAGGACGTCGATCCGGCGCAGATGGTGGTATCGCCCAAGCAGAAGCTGGGCGACGCTTACACGTGTTTTTAGTCCAGTGCGGAACGTCACAGGGCCGAGGATCGCTCCAGGTGCCCCGACGGATGGGCGCTCGCCAGGGACGGGCCCTTCTTCTGCGAGAGGGAGTGCTGGGAGTGGGGCGCCGAGGGCGCAAGCGGAGCTCTCGGGAAGGACGTGCCGCTCGTCGAGTGGGACGGAGGCGACTGCGGCTGCACGATCAGGCGCTCTGTGCACTGCACTGACCAAGCCGCGAACGCCGCGTACAGCCTCAGTGGCCGCGTCGTGGCAGAGTCGCTCAGCGCGCGCAAGGAGGGGAATACCTGGTGTACTGCTGGGAGGAGGAGAGGCCCGTGGGGCCCGGGCTCGTGCAGGAGGCCGGCTGGGACGTCGCGCGCGTGCGGAGGGTAACGATCCCGCCTCAGGCTCTGACGTGCGGGCCCAATAGTCAGGCGTGGCAGGGGCGTTCATCGACTGGTTCGTCTCGGTCGACAGCGCAGGCAGCGGCGAGCCCTACCCTGTGTGCTACACGATGGCTGCAGCCATACTCGCGCGTCTGGGCACCGTTGGCACGGGCGCCGACGACATCGAGCTCCAAACTCGAAAGGGTCAAATAGCGCAGGAAGTCAGCTTCAAGAACAGCTACGACCGCAGCCAGCTGGTCAAGCTCGCGGACTTCATTGCCTTGCGCATCAAGCAGTTCGATTCGGCCTGCCGCACGGGCTTCGACCGCGGCATGTCGGACGACGCCGAGCGATGCAGGAGCAGCTGAAGAACAACATGCTCAAGCATTCAAACGGCACCGTCGAGATTGCCTTCCCGCAGGCCACGA